GGGGGGGGGGGGGGGGGGGGGGGGGGGGGGGGGGGGGGGGACTGGGTAACCGTTGAGGAAGGTTGCCGTGCCTGCAGTGTTCAGGAATCAGGGGCAAGCAGGAAGTGGATACAAGCTTTTCTAGTTTTTTTTTTTATGTTATTTTCTCCAACTGCCCAGTGGCACGCATTTGACGGATGGATAAGGACTTTCCACGCCGCCCAGAGTTACCGATACCCCTGAGAAAAGTGGCCCACTTTGCTCACAGCGGCCACGCGGTGAAGCATAAGGCAACAGCACCAAGACAACCACACTGCAAGAGACGACAGGGCAAGCGAACGAGAAGCAGAGCAACCATGCAACGAAGCACAAGGCAACACCAACAAGGCAACCAAACTACAAGGCGCACAAGCAAAGGACACGGAAGGCAGTGCAAGCAGCAGAGCAACCATTCGGTGAAGCACAAGGCAACACCAACAAGACAACCAAACTACAAGGCGCGCAAACGAAGGACACGGAAGGCACGGCCAGCGGAAGGAGGGGAAGGCAGCAGGGCAGGGAAGCGCAATGCAACACCAACAACACGGCCACACCACACAACGAAGACAGCAGCTTGCCAAGAACGGCAGCAAGGCAGTGACGGAGCGCAGACGAGGCAGTCCACACATCCAACACAGAGCAAAGCGGCACATCACCTACTCCCATCATGGGTGAACCCCGCAGAATGTTGGTTCCCACCACCCATTGAGCCAGGGAGTCATCCGACGAGCATCCGTCATCACCCACAGGCAACACAGACATCCTGAACCGAGCCCCCCCCCCTAAGAGTGCTGTAGGCACTCCAGACGAGGAATGACCGACTGTTTGGCACTACTTGAAGATGCTCAGTTGGGCATACAAAAAGTAAGAAAACATCAGACGAAAGACAAACCACAGGAGGAAGAGCATACAAAAAGTAAGACAAAATCAGAGGAAAGGCAAACAACAGGAGGGAGACAAACTCACATGAAACTGATTGTGTGTGTGTGTGTGTGTGTGTGTGTGTGTGTGTGTGTGTGTGTGTGTGTGAGTCCAGTATATATCCCATGGCGTACTCGCCATGCCCCCATGGACCCCATGGTACACCCCGCCCTGCCGTAACCAAACTAACGCTGTATGTTGCCACTCTACCACTACTACCTCGTAGATACATGGTTATCCATGACCAGCTTTCCAAACTGCCAGACATATAGGCTAGAGCCTAGAGGGCATGGAGAAGGCGGGAGGGCAGACAACTTGAACACGCAAGCACACCAGCAGGCAAACCAAAGAGACGGGTCCCAAAAGGATGACAAGACCAGGCAGACAAGAAAAGCATCAAGGCATGCCAAAACCAAGCAAGCAAAAAGACATAAAGGCAAAAGCGGTGAGGTGACTATAGGCTGGAGGGCACGGGGGAGGCGGGATGGCAGACAACATGCAAGCGCACCAAACAGACAAACAGACAACATGCAAGCGCACCAAACAGACAAACCAGAAAATTTTCAAGTCCCAAAAAAATTGAAAGACCGAAAAAAATAAAAGCTGATGATGATAGATTGTTTTGTCGGAGTTGCACCAACTAATTAGGAGGCTGAACCCTTGGCAATCTGTGGAATCCCGGTATTGATGGTTTGGGTCATGAACCCTTTGATCCATGTTGAAGGCAGACTGTCTCCAAGCAGGACACAGCAGCAGGCAGCAGCTCATCGAAGCACCAGGCGACGCTGCCGGAGCAACCCAACTGCTTATCACCAAAGATGACTGCAAGGAACAACAGCGCAAGCAAATGAGAAGCTCAGAAACCGTGCAGTGAAGCGCAAGGCAACATCAACAAGGCGATCAGACTACAAGACACGCAAGCGAAGGACATGGAAGGCCGACAGGACAGGCGGACGAGCAGCTCGGCAACCGTGCATCGAAGCGCAAGGCAACACCAACAAGGCAACCAAACCACAAGGCATGCAAGTCAAAGACGCAGAAGGCTCGGCCTGCGGATGGGTGGCAAGGCACCTGAGCAGCGAGGAAGACCTGCGAAGCAAGTGGGATGGGCAGCAAGGCAGCGGCAGAGCGCAGACAAGACAGTCTACACCATGTCATCACACATGGAGCAAAGCGATACATGACCTACTCACATCACGAGTTAACCCCACAGACTGTTGGTTCCCACCACCCGCTGAGCCAGGGAATCACCCAGACGAACATTCGTCATCACCCGCAGAAGACACACGCATCCCGAACTGAGCGTCCCCCCTAAGAGTGCTGTAGGCACCCCAAACGAGGAATGGCCAACTGTTCGGCACTGCGTGAGGGTGCTTAGCTAGGTACAGTAAAAGTACTTAGAAAAATAAAAGAAAGAAGAAACATACATTAAAAAAGCAACATACCGCCGAAGCGGCACACTTGCACATAACGTATATTTCTTCGCTCCATAAAAGGGTGGAGGGCAAGAAGCAACTTACCTAAGACAGAGGACCCCACCAGCAAGAAAGCACGGACCCCATCCACCAAGGTGCATCCACCAATATTTGTGCTGGTCCCAAATGGCTATCTGGTAGGTGCATACTTGAAAGTTGGATCGGTGCTGATGTAATGAACATATTTCCGGCCCAACTGACGCAAGTTTTTTTTTGCAAACTTGAACCCCCGTCGGAGGGGCAACGTAGGGCAAGCTGGTGGTCTCAGGGGCACGATGTGAATAATGGCATCTTTGAGTGTCATGAGACGAGTTTTCCCTTTTTCTTTCCGCTGCAGTGATTTGGTTGTGGCGTATGACGATTCTGCTCCGTGAATGTTACACAAACGGATGGAGAGCATTCCGACGCACATTCCAAGGTCCTTTCTGTTGTCCGAGAGGTAGGGACGGACATTCAAAGCAATGTCACACCCAACTGTCCCACGGTGCGGGAACCTTTCGTGTGACGGAGGACTTCCCCCCGGAAAACCATGGTGGGATGTCAAAAATCGGCAAGGCCGATGAGCTGTCTGGGCAAAAACGTTCAGCACAAGTCCCTGTGGATGAGCGGATGATATGCGGCCTTCGACGGCCACACTTTGGCATAGACGGTGGACCGTCTCCTACCTTGCACCCCAAACACCCCACGTTGTTCCAGTGTGCCTTCCACCCCTTCGGCACATTGATTTCAAAAGCGCCTCCGCTTTACCTGTTGAGTGCTCAGATTTGAAATTTGAAAAAACAAAAATAAAAATGAACGGAGAATGCAGCCATCCTGCATTGCCTTACCTGGGGTATTGGCCATGTCTCACATGCACCCGTCAATACATGCGGCATGCATCGTCGACTAGTTTCATAGTTGGACGTCATTCCTTCGTCCCCAAAGAAGGTTGCAGCGATGGTCGGAGGCAAGAAAGTCGTTGCAGCATGCCGTCTATCATTGTGCCTGGCAGGGCGATCATCTCCACTTCCCGTTCAGCGCACGTCTGTGGACACCTTCGGCAACGGCACCGGTCATTCCTAGTGGAGAGAGCTTCAGGCAGTGTGTTGTCTCACGTGCATGGGCATCACCGTCATGCACTGCTACGCTCGGTCTTTTGCCCACAGCGGTGGGGGGAAATTGAGTTGAGGCTGTACATGCATTTGGATGCTTTTCCAAATCTATACATTCAAAATGTTGGACTCATCAATTGTTGCGAGGCCCCGGATACATGCCCCAAAAGAAAGGTCGCGCGCTCGAAACTCACTACCGCCTCTGCCTCTCGCCGACTGGATTGGGCTTTGGGAATTTCGTTTATGTGGTTCTATCTGGATTCGAACTCAGGTCTGTATGCTTTGAAGGGCCCAGCGTCTCCAGTGATGAACAGTATCCTCAGCCCACTCTTGCTTCCACCCCCGCTAACTCTGTGCCTCTTTTGCCTGCTGCCTGCCACGGCCTCCCATCGGCCGCACCTGTTCCGAGCCCTCGCCAGTCGAAGCTGCTGCTGCTGCTGCTTCTTCCCTGCCGCCTCTCCGCCGCTGTCCTGCGCCAACCATTCGAATCTCTTTTCGAATGGGGCAGAGGGCTCGTAGTACCTTTATTTACAGCAGCAGCCTAGCAATAGGCGCGCAGCGCAGCGCTGGTCTGGTTGTGTACACAGTCCGCAGACAGGAAGGAGCCTA